CCCCCACAAGCATTGGTACTAGGTTTATTCCCCCCCAAGCATTAGTGCTTCGTTTATTTTCTCTCCAAGCATTAGTGCTCAAGTTATACCCCTTCCTCCTAAGCATTACTGCTCAGTTTGTTTTTTGTCTTCTCTCCCAAAGCATTAAGGGTCATGTTTGTTTGCCTGGAGTGCCAGCGAGTTCCTTTGAACTCATTTACTGCTTGTAATGTGTTTGTAAATATTTATGTCCATAGCCTGACCACAGTTACACTTTAGTTAGTGTAGCACACAACCGTATAAATGATTGCTAGAAGTAATGCCCTTGCATTTTTCAATAAAATATTTATTTGGTTACTGAGCCTTCATTCTGCTCATCTATGTCAAGATGACCTGATGAAAACACTCTTTTACTGTTGATAAAGTTTGTTTCCACCCGGTTTATAACCAGTAAATGCTTTTGTGTTGATGAGCTTGTGGGTTTATGGACCGTAGGCCGGGGTAAAATGTAGCATCATTTAAGAGAAAGTTACTGAAATCCTTCATTTCATATTCTCTCCTACACTTGGGACAAATCTTATTTCTCATAGCAGGAAGATTAATGAATAGTCTTGTTTTAACGCATTGATATGATTCAGATGTCGGAGTTGAAGTGACTCTTTTATTTCACATATTAAACATTCACGTCAAATGCAGCAGCAAACTGCAATTTTAAAAACTCTTCATGGAATGAGAAAAGAATATTCTTTTTCTGTTTGTGATCTAATATTCCCTTTGTTAGATTAGTGCTCGGAATCACTTTATTTTTACAGATCTCAGTTTTCTAATCTAATTGATGGCTTGTTCTTTTGTTCTGCTGCTATTTATTACAAGGCAGATAGATTCTGCAGGCACATTCAGTGGAAGAATACAATAATTTAAAAGTCATCCTGTATATTGCCCTTACTAGGTAAAAAGAATGAGCAGAAATGCATGTTTAAAGCATATCTAAATGGAAAAACAAAAATGTAATATATTGCAGCTGACCATTCTTGAGAAGTGGTTGCTTCATTCATTTTTTGTAGTTTTATTTCATTAATTTTTACTTGGTGATTTTGCCAATAACACTACACATTTCCAGTCCTAGGGTTTGGTATTCACACTGTTCTTATACAAGTTAAAGCCCGTTTGAACTAGGCCTAAGTGAGCACACACTACATTGCAGACTGAGGTCTGCTTACAAATCACACTGCTTTTAACCAGTTGACATCCGCGGTGTTAAACCCCCTTCCCATCCAGGCCATTTTTCAGTATTCAGCGCTGCGGTACTTTAACTGACATTTATTCCGTCATGCAGCGCTGTACTGAAATGAATTTTATACCCTTTTTTGGGGACAGATAGAGCTTTCTTCCCGCTGATCGCCTATATGTGAAACACCCGGTAACGGGTGTGTGCATTGATCGGGTCTTTTCTGCCCGTGCGTGCCCGCAGAAAAAAATTGCCGTCTGGAGACGGCAACCCGCAGATGCAGCAGTGCCGTCCGTCCGTTTTTTTACTACGGGCGGACGGCAAGAGGTTAAAGAAGAACTTCTGGAAATTGTTTATTAACCCTTGCAGTGAGGCTATCCCCACACTGCAAGGGTTAACTGCTCCTTTGTGTCTAGGTTAAAAAACAAAACAAAGTTATACTCACCCAAAGCTCAGAGCAGCTTCGTCTTAGACCGGTCCTTCCAATGTCAGTCCCCCTCTTCTGCAGCGGTCTAAGTTCCTGTAAATCCTCAAAGTATATACACAGTGTATAGATGTGAGGACACTGAGGAAGATTACAGATGCTCTTCGGGTTGCGATCAATCGACTTACAGTTTTTCCGCAATTAGGATGGAGTTTACTGTACAGTAAACGCCCAGTTATTCTGCACCCAAGGATCGGTAGGTGTCGGATAACTGTAGTTTCTGTTCGCTTGAGAGTTAATAGTAACTCTCAAGCAACCAGCCCAGAGGAGCCCCGCTTTCCCATTCACCTGCCGCCTCGCTTCCGCAGCAGGCAGGTGAATGTAAACAGCTGGGATCAATAGCAATAAACAAAGATGTCCCCTGCACACCATACAACAATTTGGGCCAGGGTTTGAAATAGTGGTGGTGATTGTAGTGATGTCCACGGATGGCGCCGTGCATGTCCAGAAGTAACAACAATGAAGATCACCAGCACTCTCCAGCAAGTTCTGGTAATCTTCATTGTTGTTACTTCGGGATCCATAGCAAGGCTGCTATTGGCTATTTCAAATTGCAATAGGAGGCTGGCTCTTAAAACCCTGCCCACTAAAAGGAGGAGTGGACCTGAGAGAGAACTTTCTCTCTCTAGTCCACTCCTCCTCTTAGTGGGTGGGGATTCAATAGCCAGCCTGCTGTTGGCTATTGCAATTTGAAATAGCCAATAGAAGTCTTGCTATTTATTCCCATTGTGTACTGTCTGCTGCTGACCACAGCAGTACAGTACACAGTAGACTCCTCAGTTTGCGATGTATTCGGGTCACGATCAGTTTTGCAGAACATAACCTGATCGTGAACCGAGGAGTGTCTGTACAATGCTGAAAACAGGCTGGAGGGAGCACTGTGACAGCTGGACATCTCGGAGCTTCGGGTGAGTATATATTTATTTTAGCACACAATGCTTGCAGTGCCGGAGTAGCCCCACTGCCAGGGTTAATTAAAACATTTTTTAGATCATGGAGTTCTTCTTCAAAGGAACTGAGGATCAGATGACAGTCTGCGGCATTACTCTTGATATGTCAGCTATCACTCATTTAAAAGAAAATCTTCCTACACATTTGAAAGCTGAGCGTGTATTGGAGTTTT